TTCCTTTCATATGATAAATAAATCTTAAATGAATATAGAAGTCCGTCGTCTATAAAAGTGTACCTTCTCCTAAGATTCTGTTGTATAAATAAAGTGACGTTTGTACTTGGATCCCGTATGACCACATTCTATGCTGACATCCCAACAAATCAAGTGGACGTAACAGTTAATTGGATCTGTTTTGCAGTTCTATAGTTTTTGCATCACTCTCTGTTTTTATAGAGAATGTTTTACAGCTTTCCAGAGAAAATAGCAGCTAGAATCGTACAACGCTAATTCTTTAGACTTTTCTGAAAAGTTGAAACCTGATTAAAAAACATCAAACAATATAACGTGCCCAAAATAATTTTATATTAACAATTAGTAACCAGCCTTATACTCTGATTTTGCAAGTAAAGTCAGGTCTAAAAACTTAACAAGCAATTTATGCAATACGACAAGCAAACTACATCATCATGCCAACTGCCAAAAAACCTGCATTGTGGAATGATTTACACAATTTCACAACTTTACACCAAATATACTTTAGTTTAAACTGCGTAATCTTTATTGCTTGTAATTATGACACCGTTATAAATACACTTTGATGACGGCTAGAAAACTGCTTACCCAGTAAAGTGATGAGGCGTGAATTGCACTGGTTCAATATGTTCATCAACCAGACATCGAAGTGGGTCCACTTGTTCCGATACACTGATTGTGAGAAGAAAAGTAATTTTATATAATTTATAGCTGTAGTGCGCTTCAGCGGACCAAACTGAAATATATGAGTTGAGGTTTGGTGTGAGTGTAGACGATTTGATCGAACAAAAGAAACAAAATATGACAAAACACACCAGTATATGAATCAAATTAATATTTTATTTAAATGGGCAACTGTTATGTGCTTTTTGCGCCTTTTATTAAACATAAGTTTATATTTCCAGTTCCTAAAATTCAACCCTGAGGAACAACATTTTCATTGTAAAAACCGTATCTTAAACAAACTTATAATTATTATTATTGCTTTTTTACAACATAACATACTATGGTGTCCAGTGAAATATGGGCAGGCACTAAAATATGAGTTTAAGTGCTTAATTAAGTAATTATACCATGATTGCGGAAATCAAGCCTGTGCTGAGAAATCTATTCAACCGCAATTCTTCTTAGGATCGTTGCAACTGCCACCACTAGCCACATTATGTCATACAGCTTATTACATACTATCAATAACTTCTGACTATCATTACCGAGGAGTTAAATCATTTACACTGATTGATGATGAACCGGCTAGCTACATTAATGGCTATTACAACACAGTACGTTTCCTGCTACAAGGATATAGAATAAAGTTACAATTTGATAAGGAAATCCTAAATAAAATTGATTGACTTACAATATCACCGTTCTTGATATTTCCATTTGTTTTTAAAACCTGCAATCTTACTGTATAATTTACATAGGAATCATAAAAACTGATCGATTGATATCACATAATGCGATTATGCTATAAGTACAGGGTCAGTTTTAATTTTGAGTTGCTGTTTCAACGCTTTTAAAATAAGTGTATGTACCTCTTAACAAAACTTTCTTCTAAGCGTAAACTAACGAGTTTATAATTCTATCAAAAATGCTATCGTAACGTGTAAGTATAATCCATTTGTCTTCTTGGTTAAATTTTAAATACATACGTCTAATATATTAGAGTAACTATCAAGTAGAACCACCGGTTTCATATAAACTGGAACCTAACAATTATTTAGTCATTATTTCTCACCTTGGCTCCTAAAATATTGCAGCAAGTTATTTTTTGCTGTATCTACTTTTATGACAACGCAATAAAATATGTGGCTGAGTTATTTCTAATTAGCGTTATTGCGTCTTTGTTTTACTTTAGTATATTAGGAAATATAACATTTAATTAAGGTGGAGGTGTAGTATGTTTGATTGGTAACTGGTGCAATTTGATATGTTGTGAATCGGATTGGTAGAAGACGATTACGTTGCGTCACGTTGCTTGTTGCCGAAACTAGACTATAATTTGCTAGTAATGTCTTAATTTTATATTAACAACAGTCTAAATGTATTGTACAGTGTAATTTAGAAAGCGAAATAGATGTGACGTGACTGGTGACTCTTTCAATTACGAGAATTCCTAGCTCAAGATGAAGGTTAAAGCAGGAGAAGGAAAAGGGGGTCATGAGGGAGGGCTCACATTGGGCGAGAAAAGTCAATGGATGATTTTCCTCTCACAAAGAAAGATGAAGTCACGGTTTACTTACAGTTTTAAACTTCACAATCATGAAAGTAGAAAAAAGTCATTGAAAAATGGAATCAAAAACATCCCATTAAAAGAATACATTGCTGTTAGCAATATAAATTTAGGGATAGCAGCGATTTATCCAAGAAAGGCAATAAAGGATATTACAAGATTGAGCCTCTTGAGACACAAAGATCTGTCGACCGCAATTTACTTATACGATCCGGTGTCAAACCCGTATCACTTGGACACCAATCATTTATAACTCTACTTGTCCTTAATCGACGAAAGAAGATGTCTTCTCATAAAGTAGGGAAATAGATATAACTTAATATCTTTGCTATAGAGGTTCTTTCAAATGATGTGGACGTTTTTGTTTTGTAGCACATCGCATGTGTTTGTTTAGTATTTATATTCATTGGGATTTATAATGAGCGAAATGATTTTTTAACCTTGCGTAATGTTTCAGGTTTGTCTTTTGAGTCATTTAAGTGTTTTCGGGACCTATAGAAATTATTTGCACTGTTAGAACGTAGCCTAATATCTAGGTGTCTGTTACACTATAAGTGGGATCAAATTCAAAACATTAATGTCGATGGGAGACCGTGCAAGGACATTATAAGAATTGAGTCGTTTCAAAATGTTCAAAAACAGTACAACGTATTTCTTTTTAAATGGTATATCTGTCTAAACTAGCATTGTATAGCATCATAAATAACTCAAAGATAGTTATCTTATAACGTGCTAATGATCATTAAAGCGCTCCATTTGTATTGCGATTTGATGAACAGATTATAATTCTTATTAATTAGACGCTATGACTAATCTGATGAGATTTACAGATTTTGTACCAACAAAGTATGCTAGATTGCTACTAAGTAATTTGCTGCTTAGAGGATCACAAAAGATGTGCTGCAGTGGTTTATACATAGACAAAGATCTGTCTAATTAAATCAAATTTTAAGGCAGCTGCAGAAATAAAAATCTTGAGGCATTCCTCTTAGAATATGTACTTCCTATTATTTTTATACCATAGTCTTTATGATTTCCTGATAATCATAAAGACTATGGTGCTCTTTATGGAGAATTTTGAAATGTAACTACTATCGAATTGAAATCTACCACAAAACCCCTTCCTAACAGTGACGCTGATACCTACTCGACCAAAAATGGTAAAACGACCCACAATATTTCAATATCTAAACGATATCACCTTACAACAGCAACACTTAACATCATTACAATCACTGCAAGCATCAGTTTACTCGACACTATTACAGACATGCGATAAATAGCCATAGCCGTTACAAAACAATTCTAACATGCAAACTAGGGCAATTTCTTAACATACTAGTCGCATTTATTGAACCAGAGGCTTCACTAATTAACTAAGTATCAGCTATTAAGTTTTAGTGGACCGATTCGGAAGACAGGTTTTGATGATTGGCACAATTTTTTTTTCGTGTAGCGTTTGTCTAGAACCTGTGTACAAAATGTAGGTATTGTTCAATTTGGCAGGTTGCGTAATGAACTGTTACGCTTCTGGTTATTAACCCTAAAAGAGCTAAACATAATTTTTCTAGTATAGTTTTTGCGCAGACGTAATTAGGCACCAACGTACCAGCTTTGCGGTCGTGACCAAGGAGGCCGTTACCTAGGTATATGTACTTTCTAAGACATAAATGCTGAAAGCAACCGTCGTAAGTAAACCTGGTTTTGGTATAAGTTCGGTGAATATTGCCAAAGTATATCTGTGTGAGAAGACGGCATTGCTCAGCAGTTAGGCTTTAGGCTGATGATGAAGATGAATTAGGTGTTATGTCTTTTTCATAGACGTTCTCCGCGCCTTAGTACAAAAATGTTTAGGTTTTTTAATAATCATTTTCTATTATCTGATCGACAATTTTAATTCGACTCAACTTATAAGGGATACTTACTATTTACGACGTATTTCAATTACAGGACTATTATGTTGGCATAGCTTTTGCAATTCTACTTATATTATAAACGCAAATATTCGTAAATATGTATGGATAGATAGATGTTCTTCCGCGTACAAAATGCTGAACGGATCTGAATGAAATTTAGCACTGGATTAACCCATAGGCTCGATTTAGTGGGTAAGCCACTGGTAAAAATAGTTGTTAAAATTATAAGTTCAGCATTCATCACAATTGTCGTCGCCATCGAGGGTAATGATGCTGTTAATGATGATCATTGTAAATTAATTTATAAAAAAATATTCTAGTTCTGTTGCCTCCAAAACCTTTAACTTCGCCCTATGTACCTTTGTCTATATCATGTGTGCTTTAAACTATAAATTAATAAAACCTATAAGTACTTCAACTACTTACCATAATTACATTATATTTGTCAAAATTACACTCGTTGACCGTCATTTGAGATTATGAATGCCTGAAGGTAATATTTGGTAATCTGTCATTAGAAGTATTGATTAACATAAATTATGTTCGTAAAGGCAATCAATTTTGGTAATTTAATTTAGAACGTGTAAAATCTATCGCACCTTTTTTGTTTTTATGTGAGGGGAAAATCATCAAATGACTTCTCCAGACTTCTCCCGCCCAGACTTGGGGCCGGAGGGAGTGTCAAACTGTTACTAATTAAAAACCCCCATTTCTTCTCCTGCTCTAGGCCGAGGCTGCATTGTGTGGTCTCAAACCTAAATGAGTCTTCTATTACTCCAGATCAGTGACGAATCAAAGAAAATCCTAAAACCTCGTGCTCTTGTCCACAGATACTTCGTGAGCACCGTCCTGCAGTTCCAGATCTACCGAGCCCTGTGTGAGCGTACTGGCCAGTTCATCGTCGGAGACCCAACACGACCACTTCACAAATGCGACATCTACAGGAACCCTGAGGCTGGACGGATTCTAACGTAAGTGTGGTTTTAGTGTAATTATTTAAGTGTGGTACTTGGCAATTCAATCATAGATTTGAGTGTAGAATTACAGGTTTAAATTATATTATTTCCAAACCTTTGATAAGGTTTAAAAAAACATCAAATGATTCTCTCGCCCAGGGTGCGGTGACCACCCCGTTCCTTCTCCTGATCCTGGCCGAGGCAGTCGTACCTTTTCGCGCTTGTCCCCCGAGCCTTAAGATCAAATATCAAACGTCACACTCGCGTTGTACGAGTAACTACTCAATCAATCGACATAGTCAATTAGCATTCAATAACAATTTCTCATAAATCTTAGATAGCGATCTCGTGGCGTGAAGCGGAGCGGCCTTGACCGTTGACAACGTTAACGGGTTACCTACTACATTCATATTATTTATTTATATTTATGTAATAGTGTTCTGCCGTCAGATTGTAGATGTGAGTGGGTTTCTTTTTACTATTTGGAACCAAACCTAAAGCGCGTAAGTTGAATGCTTGCTATAAGCACTTTTGTTATTAAATGTCTAGGCAATGCAAGAAGAACATGGTCAATGTAGCAAAAAAAATATAAAGAGGAAAACATATGCACAAATAATTTTGGTTCAAAAATGGTGTGTCGTGCTGCAACAGAACGCCCCGGTTTCGTGTGGACAGTCCATAGCACACGATACGACATCATCATCATTATCAGCCTATATGTGCCCACTACTGAGCAAAGGCCTCTTCCCACAAGAAGACGGTTTAAGTATTAATCACCAGGCTTGCTCAAGGCGGATTGGCGATTTCAAACTTATAATTCGAAATTATGAGTCCAGGTTTCCACACGATGTTTTTCTCAACGTTTGTCATACCGTCACGTTTGCTAAAACTTCTATAACCATGAATACAATAATAATACTTGAATTAATTTATCGAGAATATGTGCCGGACATCGGATCTAGATTTTTTTTTTATTGCATTATCTGCATTACGTGCGAAACTACAGACAAAACTATGTATATATGTATATACCCAGGTTAGTTCATACATGGGTGTGTGGTAACAGATGCCCAATGTTGAATTTAAAATAGCCATTACACTATTAAATTCTATTAAAACAAAAGTCCTTGGCGACAAGAACATTGCAACATCCAAAAATGTTGTCACGGAAAAATGCATTTTAATTAATTTGTTCATCCCGCTAATTACGCGTTAATTCTTCAACATTAATATAGACTCTATACGCAAAGAAATACAGTTCATATTACATATCACTTTTATTGTAGAAACTAGGACACGGATGCGATCTAATTTCAACTGTAGAACTTTTACAAAGAGTCGAATTTCATTCGAGTGAAAATTGGTAAAATATTTTCTCTATCGTTATTGTAATTTTAACCTTATATAGGAAACATTCAGTGTTCGTTTTGCTTTGGTATTGGGTATAAAAATAAAGCATGGTGCAGACAATTGCGCGTCTCCTCGCGGATGTGACCACTTGACGGCATGGATGCGGGTCGCATTATTAAATTTTATTCGTAATATTGTTACATAGTTAAACGTTTGTTCTGATGTTAGTGATACATAATATTATTATCTCGACATTTGTTTTGCATTTGCTAAACGAGTTTAGTTGTAGGTACGTAAACTGCATGACCTATTTTTATCTACCTACGAGCTGACCTAGCAATGCGACCGCTCCAAAGAGTTTCAAAATAACAATTTCGTTCCATAACAAATATCTATTTTCTCACCGTTTAGGCCTTCCAATCAAGTCTATCACAATTTAACAGAACTAAGTAACATATTTACTAATAGAAAAGATCTGACTAAAAACGACGACGAGGAAGGGTCACGGTATATTATTGTGCTTTGCACCCGCAATCCTAAATTTATTTTGGCACGTGTGAGTGCTTTGCTAATCAGTGGCACTTGTGGGCTTAAAATGGCTTTCTGAGCTCCCTTTATAAAGTTTTAGGCATAATTTTGATAACCAAGCAATAAATAATTTGGATATATTAACCTCAAAAAAATTGCAAATAAATCTAGATTTTAAAAGCGTTTACATAACGATTATTTTCGTAACTCGCTACTATAGCTATCTATCTTTCGATAAGATCTATGAATTGATAGATATTGCAAGAGATAAAGAAGAAATTGATACACGAATTTGCATCGAATTACATAAGCAGTAAACGTCATTATTATATTTAACCAACTAGGTATTTATTACCCAATAAATTATCAGTTAAACAGAAATATACGGTATGTTATGTCACTGTTTTTTACTTGTAGATTAACTTGCTTGCTTAGTTACTATACTTAATCCAGCTCTTCGGTAATGGCACTTTATTTTGCTTACTGTCACACTCAGAGACGACTCACCAAGTAAATTAGTTTGTAAGCCATTTGACTAATGATATCTTAAACTATTGTTAACGAATTATTAGTTACGAAATTTGCTAAAGTCTGATTTGTTTAACTTCATATTTAAAATGGCGGTCTGAAATAACATTTTTTTTTTAAATGTCGGTCGGCATACAAACATAGGTTCGTATTACCTGAAGGTAAGCAATCGCCACCCATAGATACCTACCCGTAACCGTAACACAAGAGACGACATCATCTTTTAGAAATAATATAATTATATTATTTTAATTCAAAATGTAAGTAGGTAACCTGTTAACACACCGCTTACTCGACTTGTAAAGCAACAAGTTCACAAACCGAATCCAAAACTCCGAAGTGTTGTAACATTTACCTCCTACAGTATTCTGGCAGCCTGGTACATTTAGCGGTACGGTTACAACAAGCGAATCGATCCGCGGCCCATCGACATTTTGTGTTTCACTTACATAATTTACATAAACGCAATTGTTCAATATTAGCCCTTTTTGAACGCGCGAAAAACGCCGTGTAAGCGCGAAAAACGTGCAGAAATTACAAACTTTTGAGAAATACTTACCTACTTACAGGTGTGTTAAAGAAAAACTGTGGCAAATATGTTTAGGCTATTTTTTATGTCTCATAGTTCATATTTATGACCAACGTTCTATATTCAAATATTATGGAATAGGAACTGAGAATTTCGAAAGAGTTATAATTTATTTTCTTAACCTTCCTTTTCAACAAGTGAAAAGGTAAATCGACTACAAAGGTTTAATTCCAAGTTTATGCAATAAAGATCAAAGAACGACTTAAGTTGTTGTTGACTTTAAAGCTACCAGCTCTGACTTGGCTAAAGCCCAAATAGCTGTGCAAGCCGCCATTACATCAATCAGGCTTTATTTTGATAGTTTCCCTATACTTACATTAACTCTGAAACAAACGAGAATCAACAATGAAAATTGTTAAGAAGATGAAAAATTTTAGATGACAAATATTAAATATTCATTTTTACTTTAAGCTATAACTTAAAGAACTGACCATAACATAATTATAAGTACCTACTAATTTTGTCATAATTAGTAATTTTACTAATATTATAAATGTGAAAATTACGGTGTTTGGATGTTTTTTACGCAATCATGCCAAAACATCTGGACGAATCTGACTGAAATTTGGCACAGGCATATGATACACTCCGGAATAGGACATACTTTTATTCAACATACCACGCGAGCGAAGCCGCGGGTAGAAGCTAGTAAACCTATAAATTTAATAATTGGTATTTAGCAAAATAGCCCTTATCAGCATTAGGCGTTAGGAAAACAATTGAAGAGTAGACCCTAAGAATATAATGTTCAAAAGGTACACAGTGCTGACACATATAAAGTCCAAACTTAATTAAACCAAGTACACAAATAACAGCGAAATACACAAGCAAATGTAGAATTCAATTGTGATCGAAAAACGTGACTTCGCTGCTGGCCTAATTACCATTAAACAGAGGTATAGGAAGCCTGGGCATATGGGTCAGATCTATTGCGAAAACCACGCTGGACTTGCGCTTTGGGTGACTAAAATGTAACTTTTTAAATGTGATCTTTAAAATTTAACTGTAGTAGATGATCAGTCAAAAAAATAATTTAAAACTGGTGGTTGACAATTAATTAAGTTATTATAGAAGACTACTAAGATGGTTGCCTACTTTTAACAATGTCTTAGTTGAGTAGTTTCCTTGGTCAAAAAGAAACTATTTCAATTTATAATACCATAAAAATACCTAAAATTAATCACACATACATTTACACATTTAGCGATGTGCTTAAAATTCCTATACTTTTTTTGATTATTCTAGAGAAATGTTAATTCTTTTTGATAATTTTGATTTACATAGCATGTAAGTGTATCTTCTGTCGGGAATCCAAATTAATAAATAAATAAATAAATAATTCTAGAGAAATAAGTATGCTATTTGACATAAAAAATATGACGTCATAACAAAGAAAATGTAATTTTTAACATTTCGGATAAAGTAATGAATAAAGTTGGAAATTTGATGTAATTTTGATAAATATTTAAAATTGAATACAACGATGCAATGTAGCGTAAACTATACTAATATATAAAGAGGTAAAATTTGTAAGTTTGTATGTAGGGGATAATCTTTGGAACCACTAGCCGGATTGCCAAAATTATTTCACTGATAGATAGCTATAATATTCCTGAGTGGTATATGCTATAAAATATCACGCTACGATCAAATGGAGCCGAGTAGCGGGTGAAACCGCGTGAGCGTAGCTAGTATCTTAGAAATTCGGAGAGTAGCAGTGTATTATTCATATAAATGAACACAGTTTATCACAACTTCTCGGTACTTTATCATGAATGAGGAAGTAGCTTCGTTGGATTGTGAATTACATTTCGAGTTTTTGAGACAATATGCTCGTGATTTGAATTTCATTTTGATGTTTTCTTTGAACAGGTCAAATAAAATTTTTGCTGATTTAAATATAATATGTAAACACAACTTTTAAGCGTTGATCATCTGGAAAATACTCTTCTTTTAAATATTTATCTTAAAAAGTTTTGTCGGACTGTTTTTATCGATTACGAATTTCATGATGAAGGCATTAATAAAAAACCGTTTATACACAACGAGCTATTACAGTTTGTGTCGCGGGCTCGATTCCCGCAAGGAACAACTCTTTGTGTGTTCCACAGATTGTTATCCGGGTCTGGGTACACATGACACAGGTGAAAATCCGAGTATGGAGCAGTGTGTTTTTAAGTAGTTCTTAAGTATTTATTTATAAGGATAACAATGTCAAGCGTCATTTTAGCGCTCCGACCGCATAGTCTACATTTTATCCCATAGACTGGACACTTATGTAACCCAATGCAGATCCAAATCTGTTTTATAGTAGCTGTTTGTATTGCGCTATGAGAATCTTATTGAATCACACTATGCACCTTGATTTATTGAAGTTAGGTAATTTAGGTTAAGCTACTTTCACTGACGTATAGAATTTGATGAGTTACCAAATTGTCACAAGTTCAAATAAAGATTATGTGGTTTCGGATTCGGTCCCGTCACAAAATTTTCTTTGCAGGCGTTCTGTTGAATTTCAAAATGATACTTTCGCATTTTTATTATAATCACAAGACAGAATAGATTTCCTATAATTCCCATGCTTGCAAATAATTATGTGATCAAAATAATGAGTCGGTAACTGCTAAAATGCACTGTCACAATACAAATAGAACTAGATGGTCTATTTTTATGGTAGAGCGCGGTAAACGAGCATACGGATTACCTGGTGGTAAGCAATTCGTACTGCCCATGGACCACCATAACACCAAAATGGTTACAACAGCGTTGGCCTCCACTTATATAATTGACAAAAGTCTGTAAAGACAACTTACATACTGGGGAATTAATAGTCATAATGCTAATGATATCTAGGTATGTATTTACAAATAAATAATACACAACTTCCTATAAAGGAGACATACATACGAGTAAAATGTTCGACGTAACAATTTCTTAGTGACCAGTAGGTATATAACAAGTAATGTAAGTTAATCTCACTCATAATGACATTTTATGTAATCGTACAACGCAAATATATATTAATGGTCATACCTCCCTCTTAAACGACGTATTAAGAATTTCACAGACGTAAGACGGCCGTAAAAAGGAATTTGTCAACACAGCAGGTCAAGCTACCCCAATCTGTCTAGATTTGGTAACACGTTTTCAACTTTATTTGTTTTTTGTTAAAGTCGACAATCTATTTAGTCTCTGTGACATTGCGAGGTTTTATAGCTATTTAGGCTCTGACCAAAAAAGGATCAAAAGGCTCTGAGCCGTAACTAGGTTTCGCCTGTCAGTTACAGTTTGAATTTAGATCCTTTTTAGAACACAGCGTGTGATATATAAATAATGTTCTTATGTAGGTCACACTATATGCATTCCGAGGGGACTATGTATTTCAGAGCGTTGGTAAATAACGCACGAATTTCTTCGTACATACTATGCCTAGGGAGAATTTCTGCTCCATATTTGTTCATTGCAAGTTCGCTATTCTTATGAAAGGATCTTAATAAAAATATCGTTTAAAAAAACCTTTTAATAGTAATGTAGTACGTATTATTTTCTGCCAGTAAAATCGTTCAATAATTTCTCCCGCCCTGAGTAAGTAGTGTTAGACTCTTACTATTTAAAAACTACTTATCCTGGTTACTTTGAGCTTGGACCTACAACAGGGACTCCTGTACAAAGTACATTTATCCTTAAGCACAATAAGGCACCGCTGCCTCGACATGCATCGGGAGAAGGAACTCGCATCAACTTGAGAGAGGTCATTTGATTAGTCAATAAGAACAATTTAAGTAGTCATATATGGTTTGAAATAAATTCCGAAAACAAAAGTTGAAAATAAATACAAAAAGTACTTACCTACTTTTTTTTTAAATCTTTCAATCCCAATTAATCCACATACCAACTAACAGAATGGCGGAAAAGTTAGTATCCAACGCATACATAATCAGAATGTAGGAAGCCTTACTTATTACACAATTCGGATTGGTAGCCCTAGTTCGACATTGTCTTGCCAGACTTATGTAAGCTTGTTCCTGGTCTAATGTTTCTTACAACTGACACCCTAGTGGAATTAAGGTTGTTATGTGAGTCTGGCTGGTGTAAAGTAACCGAAGTCTGGCTTACTGAGAAATTAGGTTCATGTTTCATGGTTAGGTATTAATAGTCTAATGTTATTAGGTGCTTTAAGCGTTATTTAAGGGTAGGTCATTATATTAAAAAATGGTCTTATGAACCGATAGACCAATTTTCCTGTTGATTACCTTCTTCTTTCAATTAAATAAGCTTGCGAAAATACAAAATAGAACAATGTCATGTGAGCGCCAGCGTTCGCTTGGGGTTTGATGAATAAAAGGTACACATACAGAACTAAAAACAACTACGAAATCCCGCCCTTCTCATGACCAAAAGAACAACAAATGATGAAAATCTATAACAAACTTTTATTTTCAATTACAGGCGGATTATGGAGCGAGGGTCATCAGCTCCGTGGAGTCAGATTCTTCAAGAGACAATAGGAGAAGGCAGACTGAATGGAGAAGCTCTTAGAGACTACTTCCGACCTTTAGAGGACTGGCTTAGAAGCGAGAATCTGAGGACCGGAGAGTACCTGGGCTGGAGTTATGATGGAGATTATTGCAAATTCAGGTATGAAGGTTTATTTATTCTCTACAACAAGGTTCATCATTACTGACTACGCATAATGCGGTCTTTTCATACTCAATATGAAAATATAGGTAGAGTTTACAGTCTTCAAATTAGACTTATTGTCTGATCTTTTTATATTAAGTATACTAGCTTTTGCCTGCGACTCCGTTCGGGTGGAATAGTAACTTCCTGCAGATTTTTGGTATAAAAACTATCCTATGTCCTTTATTGAGTTCCAAACTGTCTGTACCAAATTTCACAGAAATCGGTTCAGTAGTTTAGGCGTGAAGAAAAGACAACAGATATAATATTAGTTCGGATAGTTTGGATTTCTCACATTCACTGTAAATGAAAAATTTTACATTTATCTTACTAATATTATAAATGTAAAAGTTACGATGTTTAGATGTTTGTTACTTAATCACGCCAAAACAGCAGGATGGATCTGGATGAAATTTGGCATAGGCATAGGCATGCACTTACCTCATACTTTTTATCAACATACCACGCGGGCGTACCTAGTTTAACAATACAATAATGGTTTTCCCATCGAAGTCAATCAATTTAAACTCGATGCAACGAATGTAACTGCATTTTCTTCGTCCGATCTCCCAGAGTAGACCGTATATCAATAATCATGCTTCATAATCATCTTTTATATCTGGCATTATCAGCTCATTTCTATCCACTCCTGGCCATAGATCTCTTTAACCGACTTCAAAAAAAGGAGGAGGGTCTCAATTTGAATGTATTTTTTTTAAAGACTCTGTCGAAAAATATTTATTAAAATGTTTTTCTTTTTCAGTATCGAGACGGCAGGACTCCAAGTGTACGGTGGTTTCTACAATGCAGCACATCGTCATTATGACGTCACAAGCTTTGTTATAATTTTATTAACCTCTGCAATCATCACCGTAGGGTTCAATTTGCGTTGGCGGTAAATTATAGGATCATATACATAAGTTATTATAAATTTACAAATAAGTACAATGATAATGTAAAAACGTTTTTTTTTAATATGTGCAATAGAGTTCAAATTCGTGTGTTTTTTTTACTTATGTTTTTATGAAATTTAATATGTGTAATGTTTTCTATTATGTGTTAATTTTATTATTAATAATATATAAATTATAATAAAATATGTCTCTCTTACTCAGGGTTTAATAAGTGAATAATAAAACACATTATTATTCAAGAAGAAAAACTTTAATGTTAGAAATAATGTTAGAATTTTTTGTAAATAGCATAAACTAACATGAGATTTTTAGTGTTTTATTGTGATATAAAAATAAAATAAATTAAAAAAATATTATATAATTATTTTATTTTTCACCCAATAAAGAAATGTTACCCAATAAATGATACAATGTATTTTTTACTGATTAATTGGCTAATGAGGAGACGGATCTGCTGATGGTAAGCCATTTGCGCCGCCCTTGGCCAAGAAGAAAGAAAGAGAGAAGAAAACACGTGCGTTGCTGGTCTTTTGACGGTTTTTGGGAATGGAGGCAACATCACCCACACGACAAAAAAATTTTTTTCAAAATTTTGCTGTGACGTCAATCCGGTCGACCCCGCCCATTCGTGTCTTAGCAAGGTACTCCTTCGCTTAAATAAGTAATTAAATAATTTAAATTAAGAACGCATGTCGAGTCTACGTTATATTTAAGTTATTTGCTCTCTAATCAAGTTACATGTACTTCTCTCACATTCGAGTAACTTAAAAGTTATAATATGTGTATGTAATTTTATTCCTTAAATAGATAAGTTTGTGTCAAGCACATTAAGCGGCAGTATCTTAGTATTTGAAGAACCCCTATTTAGCAGATAATTTTTAATATAAATCTATACATATTTGTATGAGCTGCGTGTCCCATATTATGTTTGACGATAACTAATAAATACTGATGAAAGTGGAAGACCTGGCCCTTAATACAATTATGATTATGACTACCCCAGTGGCTAGTCAAAGGGTCACTAGTGGCTACCGGCATAATTTGATCTCGGATCCATTTCCCGGCTCTAAAAAAGCAATAATTGTTGAGATTTAATCGAAGATATTAAAAACAAAGCAAAGATTTGTCCAAAATGTATTTCCTACAACAAAATCTGCATAGCAAATAATCAAAACCTGCCTCGTTGGTTAAGTAGTCGCAAGTAAGACTCACGGGCAAGTGTGATTCCTGGGTACTGCAAAATAAGTTCTACACATTTTTTGAGTTTTCAAATATTTTTCTCAGTTTTAGAACAGAGTCTAAAAACAGACATGTCAACTGGCTTACACCCTATTGCTTGGAAGTCCTAATATACACACGTATGTATTGGCATTATATTTCATTATGTGTAAGTACTCTATAATAACACAAAGAATAAACAGCACATAATAAAAACAATCTTCCCTCACACAGTCACACCACCGACGAGGCACTTGATTTTGTATGTATGAGATTGTTGTTCCCAATAATAAATAAAAGTTCCTACGCAATAAAGATAACAATTAGATCTGATCTCCGATCTACAACATGCGGGTCTGACTGACACAAAAGATAAAGTCATTAATATTTATAAATGATCTTTACGGACCCCTACCAATTTGTCTGATCCTGGCCCCTTGATTTAATGGCATTTTAATGATAGACCTGACTTATTGGTAGTAAGTTTCACTACCGAACAGATCTTGGGTTCAGTTATAAGGTCAGGTATAACTGAGGTTTTTTTTTAATTTTTATGAATCATGCTTCGACGCAAATGAGCCGGCTCGACCGGTGTTATACCACGGCTTCACCTCGACCGACGTGAAACATCAGCAGCATTGTGTTTCGCCATGTCTAAGGACCGGAGACCAATGACGATATAACCACTGGTGGTGGTGGTAACCGTGGTTTTATCCTCTGTGCCGGAGACCCAATCCTTTCAGTTCCTCCCAACCCAATATAGTTTTGGGGATAAGACATTTTTAGTCATTCAACATAATGGTTTTTAGTCAGTTACAGACTGACACTATATCTTCAAAATTTTGTTTTAAGGCCTTTGCCTTTAAGGCTCTAATTGGAATAAATGATTTTTGTTTTTTTTTAGTTAGAGTCTGTCACTCACCCCGTGGTGGGAGAAATCATTGGATAATTTTTCAACCTTAAAACAAAGGGCTTACAGTCTAGGCTCTGGGATTTTAACATTTTCATAGGTTCATAATATACGAGGAATCAAACGAAAATGGTTAAGCAACATACATTTTCAACGTATCTCGAATATTATCTTACGAGCGACAGGCCCGTAAAATTCAGTACCTAGGTATTGATTTTATCTATATTTGTCCCACTCACTGTTACACTATTTGCTTATTTCAGACTTCTATTTTCAGATTCAAAATGGAGGTTTATTTTGTCGTTTCTGTGCTGTGCTGTTGGATAATTGAAGGTTTGAAATGTTTCATGAGAGTGCAGTCTGGCTTTTCGACAGTGTTATTTTAAGTTCTTTTGATGGCAAAGCAGCTAATTATAAAACTAAATTGTTTAATATTGGGTCTCCAGGTACCTCATTTATACGGCGAAACAAAACTTAGAGTGGTTTCACGACAGTATTTTATAAATATCACAAAAGCTTGATGAAATTTACAATAGAATATTCCAGTTATATATAATTCTTTCAGTCAAAAAGACCGAAGTCCATGTCGTGGTTGGACTCATGGGATAATTTCTCTTTCTTGGCCTCAGGTTTCCTTGAAATCCCTTTGAACTAAGATCAGTGTTTGTTTACATGAAATACACGCACATAGGTCTGGTACACGCTTTTTATACAAACTTGAGAGTTGCCAAATTAAATGGCTACTTCCTTGACTTTCTACACGCCTAGTACAAAAGATTCAAAACCATGTTAAATTTTGAACCTTAAATGATCGTTTAGTATTCATGAATTTTGGTCTTGGTTCGTCTAAACTAATAAGAACTATATTTACTTGACAAAAAACGTAGGTATATAATTCTAACATTTAATGCGAAAAAATAAGCTAGAATAGTTTAATACAAAAAATTAAGGTCAAGAAACACCTGCTTAAAGGTATTTTATATTATAGGTAGATTGGCCAAGGATAACCCTGCAGACTACACAAATTGATAAATTGCGTGGCGCTTCAAACAGAAAGTTGAGTCTTGTCTTGAGTACGTAGGCTCACGCCCCCACTGTTTCTATATACTTTTACCAAAGTACGAACTCAATACACCTCTTCAAAATTCTAACCGCCTAGTACTCGTGATTAAAATTATATTCATTGTTCAGAAAATTTCGTCTTTTTCTCTTTGTTATCTGTGGTTTTTTAATATGTTTTACTTTGATCTTGGTATTTTGAAATTGACATTGCAAGGGATAGATTTTTCTCAATTACTAATATTTTAACCTGGATTAGGCCTAATACCGATAAAAGAATAAGTAATAAAATTATCCAGTTGTGAAAGTAACTAACTACACTTTGTATTTTTTAAACTTAAGCGTAAAACGATGGTTGGAATAACGTTAAAATTCTTGCGTGTTGCGTCACACACTGAGCCCTTGCAGCACACAACAAAACTACGTTCACCGCCACATAGGCGCCCACGTTTTATCTCTTTACATTTCTGATTGCCTGGTACTTGTGATCCTATTAGTATTGATTAATTTTTGGTAATCCACTCAAACAGTTGTTATCCCGGTGTAAAAAAAGTATTCCTGAAGGTTGAAGTAGCGTTGTTAGGAAATAATAATTAACGTTAAAGTTTTATTTTTATTTCATAAAATTAGGAATACGATATAAAACACTTTAATGTTATGTAGGTAAAAAAACATTGTAGGTACCATTACCTACGATGTTTTTTTTTTTCAAGACGATCGATTGATTGATATTTATTGTCTTGTTTTTATAAGTCAAACGTCGAATAAAGCTTCTTATAGATGCTGCAAGCTTAGTAATCCTCATATCGCTTTTAGGAATTCTACCTGCTTGAACCCTGTTACTTTTTTATAAAATCCATAGTAACCTTATTTAAATAAAAAGTTTAAGCGATGTGTTTTTTTGTATTTTTTTTACTGTACGCAGGGATTGGGGGCCCGTTTTATCAGGTAGAATTTTTATCGTTTATAATACTATCCGCATAATAAAGAAAGTCAACTGTAGTGCATGCAAATAATAACAAATTAAAGAGTGATGATATGGTGACAGACGTCGGATAAAGGATAATGTAATCAAGTAATAAAGGTAAAAATTTATTTCTTGATATATTATAAATTCATTTATTTCTTGATATAGGTATTATAAAGTTACTTATTTATTTCTTGATTTGATGATGATAAATAAAGTTATTTCTTGATTCCATTTTTCTCCTTTTATACTAGATAAGGATTAAACTTGGTGTGTACATTTCTTAATTTAACAATAAATTAAACTACCCCGTAATATGCATGGTAAACAACTTATGCACCCCATCTATTTCCCCATAGATTCCATTATCCAATCACTACGCATACTGTAAGTCTGAGACGCAACGGCGACATTGAGGCGCCCGTTCTCTAGTTTACAATAGAATCCACTTCCCAATGTTACTGTACGCCTGGTACTTCAAAATGTGTTACGGTATTGTGCTCATGTGACGTAACTATGCACTATTTTCACCTCCTTGACTGTCTTGGTTGCCTGGTACTTGTGATACCGTGTGAATAGTTTGTAGTACGTGAGATAGTTTGCGTAAAATCTGCTGCTGTGTGGAATTTGAATTCATTGTAAGCGTATATGTGTGGTATCTTATGTTGTATTTTTATTCAACTATTATGTTATAATTATTGTATGTATCTCATTCAAAGTTCGGTAGAATAATAAATGAATTAAGAACAGCAGTTTGAGTAAATTAAAAATTTAAAAAAAACCCCGACTTTATAAAAACCAAATGTAATGAACGGAACGAGATATCCATAAACAATTATAATTCCTATGAAAATGGATGGATATGGATATGGATATCAAATGATATCAATATATCCATAAAGCGCCATTTTGTAGAGGCAGCCATCTTGGATTTTAAATTTTTCATACCTAATAGTATTTCACTAGTCAAGCCCTTTCATTTGATACCCATATTGATCAAGTTGTAATAAAAAAATGTAAAGCACCATTTTGTAGAAGCAGCCATCTTGTATTTTAAATTTGTCATATCTAATAGTATTCTACTAGTCAAGCCCTTTCATTTGATACCCA